GAGGGCCACTTGCATGATCAGGGGGTAGCAGGGCAGGCCCTACGAGGAGAGGCTACGGGACCTGAACCTATTTAGCCTCCACAAGAGAAGGCAGAGGGGGGATCTAGTGGCCTGTTACAAACTAGTCAGAAGGGACCAGCAGGCATTGGGGGAGCCCCTGTTCCCCTGAGCACTACCAGGAGTGACTAGAAATAATGGTCACAAGCTGGCAGAGGGTGAATTCAGATTAGATATCAGGAGGCGCTACTTTACTGTCAGGCGGCTAGGATCTGGAACCAACTTCCAAGCAGAGTGGTGCTGGCTCCTATCCTGGGGGCCTTTAAGACAAGGCTAGGCAATAACCTTGCTGGGGTAATTTGACCCCAGCACTCTTTCCTGCCATGGCAGGGAGTCAGACTTGATGATCTGCTCAGGTCCCTTCTGACCCTACTAACTATGAAACTATGAAGACTAAGTAACTATTGAACAGCTCCTCCTTCTTTGCATCTTCTATTAAGAGTTATTAAACAGTGGACCCACAGGTTCCTAGGTCCATCTTTTCTGTCTAACATAGTTACTGAACCTTTTTTTTTTTTTGTCATCTTTAATGTCCCTCACCAGATAAAGCTAATTTTACCTTTGCCATCTTGTTTTTGTCCCCGCAAGTTCTTGCTATCTCTTAGTATACTTCCTTGGTGACCTACCCATTTCTCCATTCTCTTTATGCTTTCCTTTTGTATTTAAGGCAGCCTAGAAGCTCCTTGTGCAGCTATACTTCCTGGAGAGACTGTTTCCAGAGGGACTTACTACTTGTCGCACAAACTTAATGCATGGAGCCTTGCAAAGGCATTAGCAAAACTGTTAATTATTTACTGTTAGTAGTTCTTTTTATAAATTCCTGTAAAAAAGTGTTTTTCCAAATCACAAGCCTCACCAAGATACTATTAGCAGCTCACTTGCTGCTTCAGGTAAAAGTTACAGTGCTTAGCCAATGGCTATGGTTGTGAGAGGGTTAACAGGATTTCACCATCTTGGTAGCTACTTGGCATGCCCGCTGTTTTTAGGTTTGCTTCATTTCTAGTGGAAAAAAAAGCTTCCTCGCTTAAAACATGCACCCAAGTTGTGGGAGAGGAGGAAAGGAGGGGGGTAGGGATTTGCAAGGGGAAGGTGCTTGATGTATATTTGAGGAAATATGGTAAAGACATTCTGAAATATTCCATTTTGGTTCCTCTGTGTTTGTAAATATGAAAGGTGAAATCTTACCCCACTTTAGTTTTTGGAAAAGCTCCACAAACTGCCATACGGAAAAGATTTCATACCATACATGCAGGAATCTGTACTTCTAACACAGTTGTTATACAGCCTTAAACATATTTTTACAATTTACCTTCTTTTATGGAAATACAATACGACTCTTACATGGTACATAAGGTAATGATTTAGTTGAACGCAGTATTCATAGCGACTTCAGGTTGTACTATGGTACAGAGTTAATTCCCTATTTTTTAAAACCATCTTATGACTTTTATTTTGGTTTACTTAAAAAATAATAAAAGTTTGGAATAAAAAAATACATTAATCTTCCAGAATGATTGGACTATTTAATTGTTAAGCATCCAGAATTACACCCTTTAAGTCAAGTTGTTTCTGTAGTTTTTGATTGATTTTCTAATCTTGAAAAATGTGTGATGATGCAGTGTTTCATTTTCTTTTGTTTCCCTGATAAATTATTTTCATTTACTGCAGCTGAACCAAAGAAGAGCATCTAATTTATCAGCTTCCTAGAGAGCATGAGGTACCATTGGTTAGTAGTGCATGGAAATGTTATTTTAACTTTTTATATTATTTGCCATCACCATTCTTGTTTTAAATGTGTAACATGACAAAAAAAACTTTAGACAAATATATTAAAAAACTAGGGCTTCAAACTGTAGTTTAAATTAGACTAAAAAAGGTATTAAATTTTAATGAAAAAAATGATTTGTGGTAATGTTAATGTTTTATTTTCACAAATATCTCACAAAAATGTTTACTTTTATGTTTCATAAAAAAAGGCAACACAATGTGTTGCCCTAGATAACTTTAGAGTCCAGAGAATAGAAATGATAAACTCACTGCTTTTGGCTACATTATCACTTTTAGTCGATTACAATGATACTAATTCAAAATTTCTAAAATAGCTGTTAATAGGTAAAAGTCACAGACAATTAAAAAAATAATGTCCCTTATCCTGCAAATTGTTTTTCACCAGGGGTTTTGATGAAGACATGCAATCTGTCTTTGAGAAGGATAACACTTGGGGTCTCATCTCTTGCTTAGACTACTCCAAATAAACTGCTTGACTATATTTCTGTGAAAAAGTACAAGTTTGAAAATGTGCCTTCAAATATTCTCATAATGCCCTTTTCACTTGGCAATAATGCACCTGAAGAAGAATAAACATTTTTGTTTCCTTAGAACCTTCATATTGGGTTGTTCTTTGTAATTCCATCTTTACAGAGATTCCAAAATTATTCGAGTTTGCCATCCAGAACACTTAAAATGTCTTTGTTATTATTATTTCTGTTATGGAAACTTTAAACTATTTTCTACATTTCTAACAGAAAAGCCCCTTAAACAAAGCTTTGGAATCTCTAGCTTATTTTATATTACAGAAAAGTTTCTTGTTTAAACACAGCCAAACAATTACCTTTTTCTGATTATAATCTTTTGATTACAGTGTGTTTGCTACAAATGTTACTCATTCTCTTGCTGAACACATAGAAATACACTGACAGGCAATAAAATCCATGAATGCACTTTTGTGCCTTCTAGCTATAATTCATTCCAACTATAATTCTGGCTTCTATAATTTGTTTTTGGATGGTTGTCTCATACCAAGTGCAATGATCTAAAAACATTTAGTCAAGTTCTCTTTTAAATCAGCAATTCAGTTAAGTTCTGCATACGTACATTAGAAACCTGTACACATACATGTGACTGTTTTGTGAATATGTAATATTGACAACATGAAGTATTTTGTTGGAATTAAATAATTTAATTACTACATCTCTTCAACTCCAGCTATTTGAAACTAACATTATATTTGGCCTAATGGCTAAGTGGTTGAATATTAAATGTGGCAGAAGTATTTCTGAACCTCTTCCTTTGTTCACTGCAGTACACTTGCAAGATTCTGTTATAAAATGATGAAGTTTACTGTGCAAAATAGATCATTAATCATTGGTTTTAATTATTATTAATTAGAACAATCACATCTGCAGTAAAAGAAAGGCACCATAATATAGCTTTCAAAGGATAAAGTACTAAAATAAAACAAATATCTGAACTAAGCAAATAGATCAAGCTTATTACTCCAATGACTGCTGTGTATTAAAATGGTATGTTGGCAATAACGTACAGCTTAAAATAGTTTGGATCTACACCACAGTCTAATTAGTTTAAGAAGCTTTCAATACACATAGGCCCCAATTCATAAGCATGTCATAATTTAGGACAGCATATACACTACGAACCAAGGAAAAGAGGGAGTTATGCACCAGTAAGCAGCGTTCTTTAATGTGAATTTTCCACACATTCTCACTTGTGGGTGTGTTGAATATTCTGAATTTTTACCTGAAAACATTTTGCTTTAGAAATACCTGTAAAGTGTGCTCTGGCCTCACTTCTCATACTGGTAAGGGAAAATAAGAGGTGGTGGGCACTTCCTGCTCCTCAATGTCCTCTCAGCCTACACTGTATTTGACTTTGAGGAAAAGAGGAAGAAGTTTTAGATACAAATGTGTATATGGACAGTACATTTTGAATAACTCCAGTTTCTGGTAAATAACTTCCCTTTTCTCATTTGAGTGCCATTCCAACTTGCAGGTGACTCCAAAGCTTTTGTCACATACTAGAGCTGGGTCTCATAGTCCTCTAGGTCAGTGATGATCAAGCTTTTGGTCCTGCAGACAGATGAGTGGTGTACGGTTAGTTGGTAATCTGGATCATCAAGACCCACATACAAGAATCAGGCACTGTGGGGCCCTATCTGATTTCTCTGTGTGCTGGGACTGAGTCTTTAAGTGGAAGGGGAGTGGTGCTACTGCTCCCCTGCTGCCAAATTTCCAGACAAATGGGGAGCCCTAGGGGCCAGACGACATGGCACTGGGGGCTGGATCTGGCCTGTGGACCAGGGGCTGATCACCCATATGCTAAGTAAACAGCAACATGAAAACTGACTAACCAAACGTGGTGTCTACTCAAGAGTCTTGTGCAATTGTGAAATGCTTTGGGAAAATATGAATTAAACTCCAAAGGGCCACCTTGAAGATACTGATTCTAGGAACACTGTGAACCTATAGCCAGACAACAATAAAGGAAGCCAAAATCCATTATGTCTCTAAGCAGTTTGGCTGCAGAAATTAACAGAGGTAGGTACCTCCAGAAGGGTTTCATCATATGCAAATGTCAAGAGCTTTCTTGTCTTGAAATGAAAGCAGTTTTGGACAACACAAACCTAAGAATACAAGAGCAGAAGTGCCATACTGGGTCACGCTAATTGTCCATTTAGGGACCTCAGGCAGTTATCTAGTCTGACCCCCTGCTCAAAGCAGGACCATCCCCAACTAGATCATCCCAGCCAAAATTTTGTCTAGTCAGGTTTCAAAACCTCCAAAGATGGAGATGCCACTACCTCTCTGGGTAACCTGTTCCAGTGCATTAGCACCCTCCTAGTGAGAACATTCTTCCTAATATCTAACCTAAACTTCCCTTGCTGAAACTTGAGACCATTGCTTCTTATTCTGTCATCTGCCACCACTGAGAACAGTCTAGCTCCATCCTCTTTGGATCCAGCTTTCAGGTAGTTGAAGACTGCTATTAAATCCCCTCTCAGTCTTCTCTTCTCTAGACTAAATAAGCCCAGTTCCATCAGCCTGTCCTCATAAGTCATGTGGTCCAACCCCCAAACCATTTTTATTGCCCTACGCTAGAGTCTCTCCAATATTTTCACATCCTTTCTGTAGTGGGGGGGTCAAAACTGAACACAGTGTCCTCAACAGTGCAGGATAGAGGGAAATAATGACTTCCCCTGACCTGCTGGCAACACTCCTACCAATGCAGCCCAGTTTGCTGTTAGCCTTCTTCGCAACAAGGGCACACTGCTGGGTCATATTCAGCTTATTGTCCACTGTAACTCCCAGGTCCTTTTCTGCAGAGCTGCTGCCCAGCCAGTCAGCCCCCAGCCTGTACCAGTGCATGGGACTGTTCTGTCCAAAATGCAGGACCTTACACTTGTCCTTGTTGAACCTCATGAGATTTCTTTTGGCCTAATCCTCCAATTTGTCTAGGTTACTCTGAATCCTAGCCCTACCCTCCAGAGTATCTGCTACTCCCCCCAGCTTGGTGTCATCTGCAAACTTGCTGCGGGTGCACTCTATGCCATCTTCTAGGTCATTGATGAAGACACTGAAAAAAACGACCCCAGGACCAACCTCTGGGGCACTCCACTTGATACTTGCTGCCAGCTAGACATTGAGTCATTGATAACTACTCTCTGAGCCTGATGCTCCAGCCAGTTTTCTATCCACTTTACAGTCCATTCATCCAGCCCATACTTCCTTAGCTTGCCTGAGAGAATGTTGTGGGAGACCATACCAATAAGCCTTGCTTAAATCAAGATATATCACATCCACTGGTCTCCCCAGGTCCAAAGAGCCAGTAACATCATCATAAAAGGTATTCACACTGGTAAGACAGGACTTGCCCTTGATGAATCCATGCTGACAGTTCCTAATCACCTTCTTCCCCTCCAAGTGCTTAAAAATGGATTCCTTGAGGGTCTGCTCCATTATTTTTCCAGGGACTGAGGACAGGTTGACCGGTGTGTAGTTCCCTGGATCCTCCTTTTTCCCTTTCTTAAATATGGGCACTATGTTTGCCCTTTTCCAATCATCTGGGACCTCTCCCAATTGCCACGAGTCTTCAAAGATAATGGCCAGTGGCTCTACAGTCTCATCAGCCAACTCCCTCAGCAACCTCAGGTGCATCCCTCCTGGCCCCATGGAGTTGTGTATGTCCAGTTTTTTTAAATACTTTCTAGCCTGTTTTCTTGTTGCTGTTGGCTACTCACCTCCTCTCCCAACTGTGCTGCCCAGTGCAGCAGTCTTGGTAGCTGACCTTGCTTGTTAGGACTGAGGTGAAAAAGGCATTGAGCACTTCGACATTTTCTGCATCCTCTGTTACAAGGTTGTCTCCCCCATTCGGTAATGGACCCACACTTTCCCTGATCCTCCTCTTGTTACTAACATACTTGTAGAGACCCTTCTTGTTACCCTTCACATCCCTTGCTAGCTGCAACTCTAATTGCACTTGGCCTTCCTGCCTTCATCCCTGCATGTCCAAACAATGCTCTTATACTCCACCCTATTTTTTTGCCCAAGTTTCCACTTCTTACAAGCTTCCTTTTTGTGACTTAGTTTACTGAAGAGTTCCCTGCTAAGCTAAGCTGGTATCCTGCCATACTTGCTAGTCTTCCTGCACATCAGGATGGTTTGTTTCTGCACTCTCATTAAGGCTTCTTTAAAGTACAGTCAGCTCTCCTGGACTGCTCTCCTCTTCAGACTGGATTCCCAGGGGGTTCCTGCTAATGAGTCCCATGAGTCAAAGTCTGCTTTTCTGAAGTCCTTACTCTGCTGCTGTCCATCCTTCCTATACTCAGGATCCTGAATCATCCTCAATCATCTCATGGTCACTGTTGCCCAACTTGCCATACACTACTACATTCCCCATTCATTCTTCCCTGTTTGTGAGCAGCAAGTCAAGAAAAACAGCTCTTAGATAGCCACTGCAGCACTTGCGGAAGTTGAAGAAGTTGTCTTCAACACTCTCCAAAAGCTTCCTGGATTGCCTGTGCACTGCTGCATTGCTCTTCCAGCAGATGTCGAGGTAATTTAAGTCCCCTATGAGAACCAGGGCCTGTGACTGGGAAACTTCTGCTAGCTGTTTGAAGAAAGCCTCATCCACCACTTCCTCCTGTTCTGGTGGTCTATAGCAGACACCCACCACAACATCAACCTTGTTGTTCTGCCTTCTGACCCTAACCCAGAGACTTTTAGCAGGCCTATCTTCAGTTTCATACTGGAGCTCTGAGCAATCATATGGCTCTTTTATATAAAGTGCTACTCCTTCTCCTCTTCTCACCTGCCTGTCCTTCCACAGTTAATATCAATCCCTAACAGTGCTCCAGTCATGAGAGCAATCCCACCAAGTCTGTTACCTCAATCATGTCATAGTTTTTTGACTGTGGTAGGACTTCTAATTTTTTGTGCTTGTTTCCCAGGGTCTGTGTATTCATGTACAGGCATCTAAGGTAACTAGTTAATTGCCCTGATTTCTCAGGAAGCATGAAAACACCTCTCTTTGTTGTCCCCTTGTGCTTGCTCTTCCTTCAGGTCACTCACTTCCACACTTACCTCAAGGCTTTGGTCACCATCCCTCAGTGAACTTAGTATAAAGCCCTCCTCACTAGGTTAGCAAGCCTGTTTGCAAAGATGCTCTTCTTTTTCTTAGTCAGGTAGATCACATCTCTTCCCAGCAATCCTTCTTCTTGGAAAAAACATCTCATGGTGAAAGAAGCCAAAGCCCTGCTGGTGATACCACTTGCATAGCCAGTTATTGACCACAGCTATTTCTCTTGACCAGAGGCATCAAAGAGAACACAACCTGAGCCCCAGTGCCTTCCAACCTGACATCCAGAGCCTGTAGTCACTTTTGATCTCCTCAGGGTCTCCCCTGGCAGTATTGGTACCCACATGGATAAGCATCATGGAGGAGTAGTCAGAAAGCCAGGACACAGAGCTGGGGCTGGGAACAAGCTCCCAGTTCCCCACTCTGGAATCACAGAGCTGAGGGTGGGAACAAGCCTCCAGACCCTGCTGCATAATTGTGATTGTGGAGCAGGAGCTGGGAGCTGCCTGCATGGAGAGAGTTCCCGACCCAGCCTGGAGGTGGCTGGGACCTGCCCCTGACCGAGACAGTTCCTGGCTAGCCCCAGGCTGCATAGGAAAGTCTGTATGTGTGGCCTGGAGGTGGCTGGGGACTGTCCCATTTCAGGCAGTCCCCAGCCAGCTCTGGAGTGCAAGTGCAGACTTTGCTGTGAAGGCTGGGGCTAGCCAGGAACTGTCCCAGTCAGGCGCAGATCCCAGCCCTGCAGCTATTTCCAAGCCCCAGCCTCGATTGGGCAATTGAGGCATGGGGCTTGGAAACAGCTTCAGGGCAGGGGCAGGTCCCAGTCAGGTCCGCTGAGAGGAGCAGGTCCACTGGTGGGACAACTAGCAGTGAGCCCCCAGATGGGCAGGGAAACTGATTGGGGAGCCAGGGCCAGGAGCTCCCTGCTGCTGGGCAGGGGGACATTGTTCCCGCCTGGGCTCTGCCACCGAAGCCTACCCTGGAAGCAGGCAGCTGTAAGAAGCAAAGAGCAATCTCCCAGCCCCCACTAGGAGACAGCTGTCTTCCGGCCCTGTGCTCCCTACCAGGCCCTGGACTAGTATACAGGGGAAGCCTGGAGCTCCCCCTGATTGTTGGAGGAGGCTAGTGCGGGGCCAGAGGGGGCAGAAGCAGGGTGCTGCTCCTGAAACCCTGCACTTGTCGATGCCTGCCCAGGGTGGGTTTACTTCAGAGTAATTTTCCCCACAGCATGTGCATGTGTATATGCACCCAGGGGGTAGAAAAACACTGGTTGGCCATCAATTGGCAGATAGTGATGTGCTGCAAAGTGTATATTAACTGGAGGTTAGAAATAGATGTGTGCGCTTGAATCTAGACTTTACCAGGCAGCTGAAAGGAACTAAGATTTCAGAAGTAAGTATCTTCCTTACACCTAAGCACAGGTCCATGAGGGAAGATAGGGCTGCAGAGCATTCTATAAATAATGTTAAGGCAAAAAGTCTCAGATTGAAGGCTCAGCTCATAAGACATATCCAAAAGTGAGTATGTGTATGTGAACAGTTACTCCAGTGGTTATCAACATTTTTAAACTCAGCGCACCCCTTGGAGAATACATTCACCTCCTAATTTTCCCTCACTTTTTGATTATGTAAAAATAACAGAGCAACTTTCTTGATTCTTTGCAATGTTGCAAAGAACTCAGGGAGATCACAACTGGTCAGAATGTTTTTAACACTATGGATTCCTATTCAAAATTTCTGAATCATGTTTGCACACCTAACAGTGCTAACACGGGATGACACCCCATGCCCTCCTTGAAAGGATATCATGGCACCATGGTTGAGAAAGTGAGTTACTCAAAAAGCAGAATAATAAATACAGATGCAATCTCTAAATACACCATATCATAACTTGTATCAAATATTTATAAACACAATAAAATAATACTAGCAATATTAAATAAAAAATATTACTGTAATTTTAAACATACTTCCTCATCCTAGATTTTAATTGCACTTTCCACTACCTCTCTCAGGATGTGTCTTTATTGCAGATTTAGCCCCAGCTTGTATCTAATGGTTCCTCTTTCACTGCCCTTCACATATGCAATAACCTCTCACCTGAGCACACATCAGAAATAAAATTAGATGAGTCCAGTGCTTTTGACTTAATTCAATTCACTTGGTGCAAACCAGGTGCCCTTCTGGAAACTCTGGATATCAAGGTGACGATGAAGGTTCCTCATGCACTACCCTGAGCTAGAAATAAATTTTGAGTATGAATAAGGTTCAAACACAACCCTGTAACTAGCATTCTCCAGCTCAAAGCACTTGCCCGCTCAGCCTCTAGGTGCTCTGTATGGCCCTCTGGAAGCGGCTCTCTTGCAGTTCTGTCACTCTCCTACAATCTAGATCACATTATCTTGTGTAGAGGCACATAAGCTTCAGGTGTTCCAGTTACACAATTTGGATCTGGGCCATAGTGATTCAGAAAGTCCCTTCCAGATTGGAACACCATTTCTTGCTATTTAGGCAACCATGTTATGTAGAACTACTGATAAATTTCTCATGCTCCATCTTAAAATGAATAATGATTCTTGATCCCACTATTTCTATTGGGAGACTGTTTTATGTACGGATGGTTGGAAATCACTCTCTAACGTTCACTGTATATTTATTAATGAGCAATTTATATCTATTTGCTTTTGCATCCTTTTGCTTAAATAGATCTTTCCTCTCCCATGCCATTTCACAGTTTACATAACCTTCCACAAGGACACAACATTTTTCCACAGTTTGCTGGGAAAATATCAGCTCAACAGCTTCAGCACAAAGAACAGTGATTCCCAGCAACATCCATGGAAGAATGCAATATAAGTTAGGAAATAATAGTATGGACATAGAAGTATTATGGCTTCCCCCACATCACCTAGGCCAAACTGGATATTTAGATCTGGGTACAAATGACCCTGGATAACTCTCCCATGAACACAGAATGAGAAAAGTAAGATGGAGGCACTGTTCTGCTCAGTAGGTCTATAACATAACTGGAACTTAAAAAGGAACGTGCAATTCCATTCCCTGCAATTTATTAGCAGTGGCCAAACTTCAAAGGATAAGTGCTAAGACTCAAATACCACTTGTTCTTTGAATCAGCACATCTGATGATTAGCTTAGGGGGCTGGGGACTTCCGTTCTAACTTCCATTCTGAATCACTTCTCAGACTTATTTGTTGAGCCCAGAAAGGCAAGGGTAGTTTATTTTCTGAAGCCATGCTCAGGCTAATTCAGAAGAGAGAGAGAGAGAGAGAGAGAGAGAGAGAGAGACAGCGAGAGAGAGAGAAAGATGAGGCAAGAAATGTGGGAAGCACAGACTAATGGAGAAAACCTCTTTAAAATCTCAACAAAGATTTGAGGTTAGCAATCTGTTTAATATGTCACCGTAAAGCAGAATAACTTATAGACAAATATACAGATAGGAACAGATTTAGCTTTCATAGTAATATTTAGAGACACAGAGTTAAGAAGAAATATTTTAAAATAAAAATACATAGGAACAGGCTGGAGCTTCAATCAGGCCCTCACTGAAATATAGTCTCTGAGGCATTGCTCAAATTTACACCCTTTGTACAGTGATGTTCTTGAAACTCATCCTACACTTCCTTCCCAAGTTAGATTGTTCCTAGGGTTTCCCCTGAGGAAATTTCTGCCCTTGCTTCCTTCACTGTGGCTCAAAACCCCCCACTCTTATACAGTTTATATTGGTATTAGATGTAAGCAGGCCAATGTACGAGCTTGTCTCATGAGGAATTACCTGGAATCTCAAGGAAAGGTTTTTGCTCCTATGAGTAGAGTATTGGAGGCCATTGCTGCACCCCTTGAAGTCAATTATAGAATTCTCTATTGACTTCCCCTAAGAATGGAGTCAGGTCCCTTAATATCTACCACTCTGTTATTCTGCCTAACAACTGTATTTGTACTAAACAACAAGAGGCTCTCTCAAGAGATAAAAGAGGGATGGTAATTCAAAGCATTACAGTTCATAACAGCCTGTCTGCATGGAAAATACACAGCAATGTAAACCAAGACTCATCAATGTAATAAGATTTGTGTGCACACAAAACAACTCATAATTTGTTCTGAGATCAGGCATAATCCATGTAAATTGTATTGCAATAATATTTGTGTAGACATGTCTGAATTCCACAATAGCCTGACTTTTCTCTAGCTACCTTTCCTCACTGCTTTGTGTCTTGGTCTGACCAGCCATTCTGCTTACCTGCATGACCTTTGGTGGCCAGATACCACCTCCCTGTTTAAATGCTGATGTGTAGCCAGATTCTACCCCTTTGCACTTACATGCTAGGTAGCAAGTCAGAGAGCTACAGGAGAAATACTGAGCAGGTGCACAACATATTTTCCAAGCTAACCCTATGACAGGCCTGTTTTCAACTGGGTGCCAACTCCATCTAGTCTGATATTGAGGGTCTTCTTGCCCTCTGAGGATAGACGAAGTGCAGGAAATTTGTGCATGGAAGTAGAAAAACTATATTTTCAAATAAATGACCACAAAGGTTTCTCAGGGCCAAAAATAGTTGGCTTTGCAATTGTCCCTGAAGACTCAGGATTTGAAGTAGCTTATAAGCAGGTTAAAGACAAAAGCTGCATCCTGGCAGTACTTCAGCCACTGTTATACCATGAAGTGCTGGGTAGGATTTTGGCATGGTATGATAACGTGGCCCTGTATTTTATGTTGGACAAAGCTGACAAGAGGGTGAGAGGGACAGCTAATTCCATCCAAGCGGATGTCCCAGACAGTCCTATACTTTGTTTTGCCAGAGCCTAATCAAGTCTTTATACAAATGGACTTGGATACCCACCCCCTGTTGCCTACTAGCATGCAGCCCCTGAGACTACCCAGGGTGTCTCTTCACAGTCTGCTGAAATACGGTTTGCAGTACATTTTAAAACCTCATTGATAATGGTTTTATAGTGAAAAAGGAACCCTAAGATTGGACCTAGACAGGTTACAAGGGTGGGTGGATGAGAATAG